TTACCACTTGCTATTGTTGTGATAGCAGGGAGCATGAAAGGAGTGGATGATATTAAGGTGTGGAGAAATACACTGACTGAATTACAAGAATGTGTTAAGAGTGTGAAAGGTTCAGAAGATGAGATATTTATATGGTTAAAATTTAGTTTTGATTGTTTGTCCGATGAGAAAATCAAGAATCGTTTTCTTAATTGCTTCTTGTTTCGCGAAGATTATTCATTTGAAAGGAAGGAATTGATAAAAGGTTGGATTGATGAAGGACTAATGGATGGATTGAGAAGCAGGGAAGTAGCTTATGATAGGGGCCATGCCTTTTTAGATGTGCTTGAAAAGAATAGCTTGTTAGAGAAACATTTCAGGAGAGCAATTAAGATGCATGATGTTGTGAGAGACATGGCTATCAGAAGCATTAGTCCTGGACTTGGATATATGATAAAAACTGGTATGAAGTTGATAGAGGTACCAAATGAACATGAGTGGGCCAAAGATCTTAAGAAGGTATCTCTAATAAAAAATTCCTGTTGGATTAACTCCAAAGTGTCTGACCTTGTCAACTTTGATATTATCAGACAATCCTTTGACAGAGATTCCAAAATCCTTTTTTGAGGATATGAGTGGACTCAAGGTTCTTGATCTCTCTGGAACCAATATTGAAGCTTTAGGTAGTTCCATCTCTAAGTTGGGGTATCTCTATGCACTGCAGTTAAGGGGGTGTGAAAGGTTGAAGTGCTTGCCTTCCTTAGAGAAGCTTGTGGCATTAAAGAAGTTGGACCTAAGATGGGCAGGAATTGAGGTGGTCCCTCAAGGCATGGAGATGTTGGTAAGTCTTGAATATCTTGATTTATTTTGTGAAGATTTGAAAGAGATTCCAGCAAGGATATTGTCTAAATTATTTAGTCTCTAGTATTTGGTAGCAAGAAATGATTCAAAATCAACTAGTGTAAAGATAAATTTAGAAGAGGTTGCTAGATTGAGAAAGTTGGAGATTTTAGAATGTAATTTTGATGACATGCAAGACTTCAATTATCTTTTGAGGGAGTTTAAATTTTCCAGAGTAGTATTGCTTACACGTTTCTAGTGGGCACAATAATGGACCATTATAGGGTTGTTGGGAATCCTAAAAATAAATGCAGACTTATAATTAGTGGGTGTGACATTGGAGAAGAATGTATAGTGCTTCCAGATAAACTTCAACACTTGCAAATCCATAAATGTAAAAACATCAGAAGCAGCTTAAACAAAATAGCTTTGTTAGAGAATGCAACCGAGTTGGGTGTTTGTATTATTAGCGGTTGTGAAGAGATAGAGTACGTAATTGAGTTAGACTCATCCTCCTCCTCATCATGTAGTCCAGTACTTGATAAGCTTGAAGGTCTGTATCTTCGGAGTTTGCCTAGGTTGTGGGTACTCGTGAGAGTGGAAGGAGTAGCAATTCTGCCATGCATCTTTTCCAATCTTAAGACACTTGAAATAGTTGGATGTTTAGGAATGGGCAAGTTGCTTTCACTTGAGCTACTGCAGGCCCTCCAAAACTTAGAAAATATTTTTGTTAATAGTTGTGAACAAATGGAGGAGATAATAGCATCATCAGATTCAAATACATCATCATCAAATAAATTCACTTTCACTTTTCCTAAGTTAAGGGAATTGATTTTGTTATGGTTACCCCAATTGAAGAGCATTTGCAATGCCAACGAAGTTATGGTTTGTGATTCTATTGAAGAAATTTGGATAAGCAAATGTCTTGAGTTAAAGAGAATCCCTATGCAGCTTCCCCTGCTTGATAATGGCCAACCATCTCCTCCTCCTCATCTCAGACAAATCTACATTAATAAGGAGTCAAAAGAATGGGTGGAATCAGTGGTGGAGAGGGATCATCCAAACGCTAAGAACATACTCCAACCTTTCTTGAAATTTCTCAGATAATTGAATGGTTAGTATTTAGTCTAATTTGAAATTGATTGTTAAGTTGCTTAAAATTTCTATCATCTCATCTGCAACAGAAGTCCTCCTTGAGAAATCTTCAATTTTTCTAGATAACTGCAGGGCAACAGATCTGTATAAATAATACGTCACGTACAACCACAATAACATGTGGTAGTAAAAGCCTTTCCTCTACAACACACGACCGGAAAGCCGATGTAGGAGAGGAGGTATCTTGGAAGAGATGAGATTGAGATGCACCACCATCTACTCTCATGTCTCATAAACTCCAATTATGTAAGTTGTGACTTCACTATTCCTACTTTGATTTTTTTGAATTTTGGGTTTTTGAGTACGTAATTTCACTCTTTTATTCTCTTCCTTGGGTTTTGGGTATGTGTGGCGAAAATTGAGCTCCTTTTGATCGCCGAGTAAAATAACTTAACAAAATGAGAATTGAGTTTATCATCCTAAAAATTTAGGAAAAGATGATCAACTAATAAAATCGAGGTTGGAACGTTAATATTTCTTTTCTTTTTTTCCTCTTTTCATTTTTTTTATATATTTATGATATAATGAGATTTCTTAACATCTTGCGAACTAGTTTGGTACTATGGAATCAAACTTCATCACTCACTATGTCTTCAATTCCTATAGTTTTTTCTTAGGATCGAATTTTTAATCTATTATTGGCTCTAGATTCTGACATATTTTAAAGCTTTGTTATTGCATGTAGGATCTTTTATCAAGCAAAGGCAACTTCTCTTGTTGGAGCAACAAAGCAAAAGAAAAATGAGACTCAGCTAGATCCAATACTCCTTCATTTGATTGACAATAATCTTGTTTTTCTTTTTTTTTCAATTTATGTGTCTTTTATTTATTGGATGGACTTGGTTTAGTGTTGATTTCATTTGGTAATTTGTTTTGTGTTGTAATTAAGTTGTCAAGCATGTTGTATTATGGGATTTCTACTCTATTTGATTCATATAATGTGACTATTATCAATTTGAAATGTAATTTTTGTAATTCCTTTCGTGTTTGATATATTGTTATAATTTCAAATTTCCTTTACTTTGCTGACTTGAGCATTGAATTGGAGAACACTCTGGCAGCCCTTCATCGCCGACCTTGTTCCACTTTTGCAGGTTTTTTTTGGTACCTGGAAAACCATATTTATTTTATTTCATTTTCTTTATAACATTTCCAATCCTAGATTCTTTTGGTTTCTAAGAAGGAAATGATTTTTGTAGTTTGGAGTGAACAGTAAAGGGAGTTCAGTTTAGCAATCACCAAAACAAAACAGGTAGGGAATGGTGGAAAATTACTGTTGGTTTTCGTTTTTCAAACAAAGACATAAATGGATAGAAGATCGAGTAAATGATGAAGAGCAGAGCATAAACTAAAATGGAGAGAAGTATATCACTTCAACTCAATTTTTTCATTAACAAATTCTCCTATTTATAGGAGAATACAATCTTTAAACAATTCAAAATTCAAACAACTATTTTACATTAAAAACCAATAAATATACATTTGAATTTTGAAATGAGTAACAGCCACTTTTGCTGCTGCATGCTTGCCTCCTTTGCAGCCTCTTTGCTGCTCTACTGCCTCTTGGCAGCTCTGCGGCCTCTTTACAGCCTTTCATTTGCATTTGCATTTGCATTTGTATTTAATTTTTTGTTCATGGCAGCCTCATTTCATCAACATTTGCAGCTTAGCTTGATGCACATTTTTGCTGTCATTTGACAGCTTCATTTCCCTCATATTTGCAGTTGCTGCCATATTTGCTGAAAATTGCAGCTTCATTTGCCGTCAATTTTTAGCCTCATTGCTGCCATTTCATGGCAGTTTCATTTCATCATTTCTACAAATTTGATTGCCACGTTTCTAGCAATAATTCCAACACTCCTCCTTGGCATCAAAGTTGCAACATCAAAAACAGAAATAGATTTATGCCTAGGCACCTAGGATTAGCCCTTTGCTGTCCATCTTGTGCTTGGTTTTCATTTTTTTTTTCATCACAACCATGTACCATCCTTCTCAAACAACCTCAGCTCCTCCTTCATCGCAGCTTTCCTTCTTTGGATTTTGCTGCCTTAAACAAATTTTGGAGTTTGCAACTAAGTTGCATTTTCTGAGCAAATAAAACAAGGGATTGGTACCTCAAAGTGCTGCTTCATCATCTTTTTCATCTTCTACAGCTTCCTTGGGCTAAAGCTTTGGCTCCTCGATCATGAAAATGACTTGATGCAATGTTGAGTACTCTCTTGGTCCCAATCTGCACCTTCACAAGCCATCCTTCCCTTTTTGGACTAATGTTGTAGCATAAAACACCACCCATACCAGCAACGTAAACCATCATCAAACCAGCCTCTTTTGATCTTGTTTCTTGTAGATCTTCTACCTCAAGAAGATTGAAGGACGTCAAGTTAACCTTCAACTTCACAGCTTCACATACTCTCTTCTGCCTTAACAAATTGGTTGCATCCTTTTGTCAACCACTTTCAAAGATTGAAGGACCTAAAGTTAACCTTCACCATGACAGCATCTTTGTTGCATTTTTTGGTCAGAGGAGTTTGTTGTGTTGGGTCAGAAAAAACAGGGTTTTTTGAAAGAAAAACTTGCTGGCAGCCATTTGGGTTTGGTCGAAGTTTGTCGTGGTCTTTGTCCCTCAAATCTCTCTCACACAAGCCCTCAAAAGATCATGAAAGGCTCTGATACCATGTTGGGATTTTTTATCAAAGAAAATGGGGAGGAGACCAAGAGGAAGATGATTAAGAGTAGAACACATAAACTAAAATGGAGAGAAGTATATCACTTTAACTCAATTTTTTCATTAACAAACTCTCCTATTTATAGAAGAATACAATCTTTAAACAATTCAAAATTCAAACAACTATTTTACATTAAAAAACCAATAAATATACATTTGAATTTTGAAATGAGTAACAACCACTTTTGCTGCTGCATGCTTGCCTCCTTTGCAGCCTCTTTGCTGCTTTGCTGCCTCTTGGCAGCTCTGCGGCCTCTTTGTAGCCTTTCATTTGCATTTGCATTTGTATTTAATTTTCTGTTCATGGCAGCCTCATTTCATCAACATTTGCAGCTTAGCTTGCTGCACATTTTTGCTGTCATTTGACAACTTCATTTCCCTCATATTTGCAGCTAAATTGCTGCCATATTTGATGAAAATTGCAGCTTCATTTGCTGTCAATTTTCAGCCTCATTGCTGCCATTTCATGGCAGTTTCATTTCATCATTTCTACAGATTTGATTGCCATGTTTTTAGCAATAATTCCAACAATTACAGTTTTAAAATAATTGCTCAGTTCTCATGAATTCCTAGTAAGTATATTTTGACTTGTTTACTGCATTTCATTTTCTTCATTTTTTCTTTTGCTTGTTCCCTAGAGTTTTATTCGTTGGTTATTTGATGGTAATTGTATTAAGTAGGCCAAAATTTTCAAAAGTAAGTTTAACAGAATTATGGATAATAAAATTGGTTAATATCTATGGATGAAACAACATTTTTCTTTTATTATTCCATTTCACTTTCTTCATTTTTTTTTCCTAATTTTGGGTTTTATTGCATTTTTATGATCTATACACTTTCTTTACAAATTGGTTTCTTGGTATAGCTTAAATTAAGCACCTTTTGATAGTTGAGTCAATTAGCTCAAGCTCAAGGTTTCCCTTTCCTCTGGGTTTTGGTTGCTTCAATGCCTAAATTGTTTCTTTTATACACATTACTAGGGTGCTTCCAATAGTTAACCTTTTCTTTCTATGGAGCTACATTTTATGCTCTTAACTAACATTTTTCTTCTTTCTTTCATTTTACTTGTTGTAGATGCATGGATTTATGCTCATGAAGCGGTTGAAGATGGGGAACTTGGTGATGATATTGATGATGTTAATTTTAATGGTGAAGAGAGATTCTAATGGTAAAGCTAGTAGGAAAAGGGGGGTAGTTTTCGATCCGTGGGGGTGAAGACAAGTATGAAGATGCCATCAAATTTTCTTTCTATGAACCTACCAAAAATTGTTATAAGAAGAAACTTTAGTTGACAGCAGAGAAGCACAACTAGTGAAAGGTCTTTTCTACTAAGAATGAAAATAAGATATATATATATATATTATTGATATGATTCTGATTACTAATCAATGATTGTGAATTTGTAAAACTCTTCAATGCCTTCATGTCTTCCTCATGGACCAGTTGCTCTCAACCATGGTTGTGGTGCAAATCATGATATCCCTCTTGCTACAGTTACTAGACCCGCTAAGGTTAGTGTATTAACCTTAGTCCATCTCCATGCATACTACTTCCCTCTTGTTCTATGAAATTGAGCGGTAATTATGGTTTTCTGATTTAGAATGTTCAATTAATCTTAGGCATTGCAGAGGAAAGATATGGAGATTGGCCATGGAAGTTGAATTTAACCAGCAGTAGGAGGTATATCAAGGAGATTGAATTGACACATGTAGACTTTTACAATTTTCACTCATGTTTTCTTTGGGACATACAGCATAGGAAGTGAAGCGAAATAGAGGCTTTAGCAAGAGGTAACTTGCATTTGATGTTATGTTTTGTTGATTACTCATCATACCCATGTAGTGGCCTATTTCTATTGCCTTTGATGGTCTATTACTATTAGCCTTTCATTCATGCCATGACAGTCTAGAATTTTTTATTTTTTGTTTTGTAGATTGGCCACCATTTGCCCCAGTTGTTTATAATGATATACTGATTTATCTAGAAAAGTTGATGTACATTGCCTTTTCATCATTCTTAGGTATGCAAGCTTTTTCATTTTTAATTTTCCATATGGTTATTTTAAGCCTTTCATTTTCAGTATACTATATTCATTGACTGAATACATTCTTCTTTTTTTTTTTTTGACAGAGAATACATTCAATTATATACATGATGTTATACATGACGTTATGCTTATCAGTGTCGGTTTTGACACATGTTATGAATGGTGAATGTATATTTCTTCCTTATGCAGGATTGGTTCTGTGCTTTTTCTGGATTGTCACAGCTGCTACTGCAGCATACGTCAAAGGGGAAGGATGGAAGCCAGGCAGGAATGAGACTGCTTTAGTTAATACCTATCCAATCCAAGAAAGCATCATAGTGGGGAATTGGATCTAGTCTTGCCATCATGGAGATGGTTTGCAACATCTTACAAGAACTAGAGATCAATCACCACAGTTTTGAACATTACACAATTGCCAAAGGATTAGAAAGATGCTCATATCTGTTTATGGTGAATGGAAGGGCAAACTCTTGACGTGGAACAGAGATCTTATCTTGAAAATTTTGTTGATTGTGTTCACCGGTGCTTACTGACCGGGACTAAATGATAAATGGAATGATATTTTGTATGCATATTTGTTGAACGGTTGTGAAAATCTTGGTGATCTGAACCTCCTCCTCGGAAATTAAGAGGGTCAAATCAAGGTATTGATAAAATAAATAATGAGTCTTCATTTCCGAATCAGTTTGCTGCTAAGCATTTTCCAAATCAACTAGCGATCTTCTGATGAATAAAAAAACTTTTAGGCTTGCAACCATCCAAATCTGCCGCTCCTTATAATTTACATGGCCTAGTTAATTTGGTTAATTAGTGTCAAACTTTCTTCAATTTTTTCTTCATAAGCCTGAAGGTACATCATCTTCAATCCTGGTATTTTTTTTTTAAAAATTAATTCTCTTTAAAGTATATACAAACACAATGAACATATCGAAGTTTTCTTGTAAATACATGACCTTACTGGTAAAAATGCATTCATTCCTTGCTAGATTTATTCATTTTTAGGTGCTTGAAGTTCAAGTACATATAAAGGAGAACAAATCTCTAAGTCATGATATATATTTGAATGTGCATGCTTTTCTTGTTAAATATTTGTAATACCCCAAAATTTTGTGCTATTTTAGCATTTAAGTAAGGGTTTTTGTGTGGGAAAATATTGTTTTGGGCTTAATAGCCAAAATATCCAAAGTTGAGGGGCTTAAAAGTGAAAGACATTTGGATAAGGATGAACTTCTTTTCTTTTTCTTTTTTTTTCTTTCTTTTCTTCCCAGCCTTGCCCGATTCTGCTCTTCTTCTCCTTTCTTCCCGCTGCAGCCAAAAAAAAAAGGGGAACCCAGCCATGCTTTGAGAAACCGGTGAGATAAGCTTGGTTTTCTCCTTCCTTTCTTGCTCTAGAACCCAAATAGAACCCAGAAATTTCCCCTCCCC